GTTTATTTAATATAAAAAGCCTCTTGTCCTTTCCAAATTTGACCATCACTTGTTACACATGGTGAAAGCTTTGTTCCTCTTTCTCAGTAAAACCAGAAAGATTTTTTTTTTTTTTAAATTACACATAGTGGTAAGACTTGTTTACATTAATGTGATAATGCTGGCCTAGAAATAAATATAGACTCCAAAGACAGAGAAAAAGATGTACATGGGGGGAGAGGGAGGTAGGTCAATGTGTGTATATTAATTGGATCTATAGTACATTTGATTTTGGTGGATAATGCAGGATTTGCTTGCTTTGGTGCCAACAGGGTAAGTCTGGGCTTTTAGGGGTTAGTTATGGGTGATAGGAGGTGAATTCAAGTGCTGGGGCTAAGGTTAGGCTGTGGAGGGTTAAGGGTGAGGTTAAATACTAGGATCATGGTTAGGTGTTAAGGGGTATTTTTTTGTTTTTAGGGGTTAAGTGTTTTGGGGGAAGGTAAAGTGTTAAGTGCTAATTTGATGGGTTCAGTTAAAGTAGTGTTAAACTTGCAGCATTTTTCAGCTTAACACATTGAGCTCAATAATCTAAACATTACCAAGTAAACAATTTGCTAAAATTCTAACCTCTGCATTTGCAGTTTACAACTTTCAATGCTGCTGACTCCTGCTCTCCCAGTGCTCCTTCCTGAACTTCCGGTCTTTAACGGCGAAGTACAACCAAAGCTCTCTCCTGTGGATCACAGATGTGCAGTTCGTTCTGGACTCCTGTGACCAGTTTTAGCTGACAGCAAGCTGAAGTCCACTGTCGGCTGACGTCACTCAGCCAGTCCAGGCTGGGGAAAGATCCCAACTTCAAAGTCGGGATCCACCCCAGAGTGTGGAGCAGCACCTGACTCAGCCTCTCAGCGATTTGCTGAGAGCCTGAGCCAGTCGCTCCCTCCTCTACAGCCCAGCACTCCGGTGAGCATGGGTGTAGAACAGACAGCAGTGATTGATATTCACTGCTCAACTTAGAGAGACTGTGAGAACTCATCGATCAGTAGTCATGTGATTGTTGAGTTCTCACATTCAGAGCCAGCAAGGGACAGATGCAGCATTGAACTGATGCAGCATCCACCTAGGTAAGTATGATTTCTTTGTTTAAAAAAGTATGGGGTTTCTTCTTTTTTTTTTTTTTTTTTTAAGGAAAGAGGAATGTACATTGCATTCTCGGGTCAGTCTGTAAGCTTGGAGAAGGAAAAGGAGCGGGGGAGTGTCTTGTCATCCTAGGTTACAAACTGTGTTTTTCTATTGATGCACACAGTGTAGATCAGTGTTTCTCAACCTTTTTTCAATCAAGGCACCCTTTAAAAATATGGACAGTCTTGAGGCAAGTTTTGCAATTTTGCAAGTTTTCCCACTTAGAAATCATGGAGGGGTCTGAAATTCACATTGTAGGTGCATCCCACTGTGAGAGACAGAATTAAAAAAAAAAAAAAAAAAAAAAAAATTCAGGAAATCACATTGTATTATTTTTAAAGAATTTAAAAATTAAATTAATTTAAAATAAATTAAATTAAAATACTGCTGAACATAAGTATTTGAACACCTAAGAAACAGCAAGAATTCTGTCTCTCAAAGACCTGTTACTGTGCCTTTAAAAAGTCCACCTCTACTCCACTCATTAATCTAACTTAGCACCTGTCTGAGCTCTTTAAAGACACCTGTCCACCCCACAGTAAGTCAGACGCCAACTACTACCATGGGCAAGACCAAAGCGCTGTCAAAAGACACCAGAGACAAAATTGTGGACCTCCACAAGGCTGGAAAGGGCTACGGGGCAATTGCCAAGCAGCTTGGTGAAAACAGATCAACTGTTGGAGCAATTGTTAGAAAATGGAAGAGGCTAAAGACGACTGTCAGTCTCCCTCGGACTGGGGCTCCATGCAAGATCTCACCTCGTGGGGTATCACGGATAAGAAAGGTGAGGAATCGGCACAGAACTACAAGGGAGTTGCTGGTCAATGACATGAAGAGAGCTGGGACCACAGTTTCAAAGGTCACTGTCGGTAGAACACTACGCCGTCATGGTTTCAAATCATGCATTTTTTTTTTTAAATTCTGTCTGAGTGGGAATGTACCTACAATGTGAATTTCAGACCCCTCCATGATTTCTAAGTGGGAGAACTTGCAAAATCGCACGGTGTTCAATTACTTCTGTTCCCACTGTAATGCTGCAACATCCACATATGTAGGACACCCAATGTTAGGTGATTTATACTTCCAGAGCAAATACACTTTTGCACACTGGTACTGTCTAGTATTCCAGTGTTTCTTTTCCCTCTCAGTTTTTCTCCATCATCGAGTTAATCTGACCCCAGCACTGATGGAGATAGGGAGGGTCAAACTAGGATGCTGTGCAGGCAGCTGACATCCTTATCAACTGATTTCATCGGTTTTCAGGACACCGGCGGCTAGAAGGTCATAATGGTGCACAACGAAAACTTGCGACTTTGTGTAACTAAAAAGCAGGCTTGTTCTACCCGCTGGCTGGTATACATGTTTTGGGCAATTTTTAGACATTTTGCCAAGGCACCCCTGAAGAAACCTCAAGGCACCCCCTGGGTGCCTGGGCACCCTGGTTGAGAAAAGGCTGATGTAGAGATACATAACTTTAGTTCCTGTAAGGAAGGGAGACTTCATAGGATGCTGCAAAAGAAAGGAAACACCCTGAAACAGAAAACTTGTGCCAGAGGTCATGGCACCAGCTAAAACTGGAACATAGGCAAGGATTAAAAGATAAAGAAGCTGTATATTCAGTAAGTGATTGAGGTATATGTGAGCCCTCACCTTGTAAAACAATCCATTCAGTTTAAAATGGACACACAAAACGTGTGTGTATGTGTGTATATGTATATGTGTATATATATATATGTGTATATATATATATATATATATATATATATATATATATATATATATATATATATATATATATATATATATTGGAAATGCTGTGTTTTTTTTAATGACCTCTCTGTTCTCAGCTGCATAAGGGGTTTGGAGAGGTTGGGGTGGAGAAGCAGCAGGGATCTTCCCGGTGCTTAGCTGTGCAGGAGTGTGTTCCAAGTCTGACCATGGTGGGGTAAATATGTTCTCATGCATCTCATTTCAGTTTTTAATAGGAAAGCAGAGGGACTGGCAGAAACGCAAAGGATTTCACACAATGAAGGCAATACAAAAATAACAGGATAGTTTTAAAACAAATACATGGTACAACAGGCACATACCAGGATTATGAAATGTTGGGGTAACATATACTTTAAATTGGCTGCTGAAATTGCCTAAAAAATTAGGGTTTAATATTACTTTATGTTTAGTATTCAGATGTTGCCTGGGCAATCAAGTGTTAAGGCCCTGTCATGCAGTGCCGCTCTGCTCCATTCAGCTGAACTGGACAAATGTCAGTTTTTACACAGTGATCAGGGGTGGACCTGTGTTGACTGTATGGGTGGGTGGATGGATATAAACGATCTTGTTTTTATTTACATCAAGCTGCCTGCAATCCATCATGTTTAGGTCCTGAAAAATTAGAAAAGGACACAATCCTTTTTTGTTTCCATTTTTGTTTTTTTGTAGTTTTTTTTGTGTTTTTTTTTTTCTGGACCTGGATGGACTTGGGTGGGTGTGAACAGACACAAGTCCGTTTACATCGGCCTTCCCATAAAACTACATGGAGCTTCCGATCAGGCCTGCCTTAAAAATGGACATGTGGACCTGATCGAAAAGCCCTTAAAAGGACCCTTATGCTGGCTATACATTTTCTTCTATTTCTTTTAGATTTACCTTCAACTAGGTAGTGCAAGGACCTGCCTAATGGCATACAAATTGAAAGTGTTTAGGTTTGATCTCATATTATATGGTTTTGGTAAATCTAAAAGAAAATTGTACACAAAAATTGTATAATGTATGGCCAGCCTTAGCAGGCCATTGACAGTGCAAATTTCTTTTTTGCAACCTTGGGTTGCAGGAAATAAATTTGCTTGATTCCCCCATCAACACAGGCAGTCTTGACAGGGGAATCCCCCCTTCCTGCCAAGCTATTGTGTTCTCCGAGCTGGGGGGGAAGCTGTCCCTGCTGGAAGAAGACAGTGGCTGCTACAGCCGGTAGCAATTATCGCCTGTAGAATCCGGTAGGCTGGTTATACACAAATTGATTGATCGGTCAATCAATTTGGGTACATTCAGCTTGCCCATACATGGTTTGAATCTCAGCCGATCGCTGGGGAACCAGCCGGGATTCGAACTGTCTGGCTAGGATACATGTAATGGCCGGGGTATAGGGAGAAAAAGTTGGGGTTTTTTTTGTGTTTTTTTTTAAATTTCAGCACTGAAACATCTGTGCTAACTGGTGGCTGTGAATAATCTGTGGCAAAAATCATCTATTCTATACCCAAATCTTATCTAGTTAATCTTTCAAAATTCCAACATGAGTTTTACTTTTCAGACCTTCAGTTTGCAAAAAAGAAGATGACAACAGAGATGAGCAAACATGAGTCAGCATTCACAGTGGATTGTCCTGTTTCACCTGCAGCAGTTTGGGAGGACCAGTTTAACGAATCATCTAGTTTAAATGGATAAAAATTCACTGGTACATCTCATTGTATCAATGCAGAGTGGCAATTCCCCCCACAGGGGAACTTCTAAAGAAATTGGTACATTTCACACCACTTTAGCTAGAATGTTTGTTTTTTTTTTATGCACTACAGGTTAATTTTTTTTTTTTTAGAGGATTAAACTCGTTTTCCCTTCATGACCAGCTTGTTTGTGCCAAAAAGTGAAATAGAGCTGTATAGTTAGAAATTTGAAAACATGCCAGCAATCAATAGGGAAATGAATAGGAATTGAATAGAACAATAAATCCATCTGTTTCTCTAGGAGTGGTATATTGGTGTGTATCAGACAACACCCCTTGTGATGTGCCTAGCACCTGTCTCGCTCCTTTTATCATTTTACTGACATATGGCTCTCCCACACAGGTCTGGGTGTGGCATACAAGGACGGAAAAACCAAAGCTCAAGCAGGAAGATTTGCTGGAAAAACAAGGGAGGGGATCCAACCCCAAAATATTGGTGTGATGCAGACTATGTTTGACAAATTGTATTTCAGTTTTATAAATGTGATATATGTTTATCCTCCACCTCCAAACATCAGCTGCTGTTGTCTTATATAAACCAAACTCTACAGTGCCCACTTTGCCTAAATGTTTATCTGCAATGTTTGAGGGTCTTCTGCAGATAGTAACTGTAGGAGGAAATCCTTGTAACTGTCAAATTTCATTTTTATTTTATTTGTTTGTGAAACAAAGTGCTGCCGCCATTCATGGCATTACACAATTTCAAAGCAGTGTTGCTACCCACTTGGATTTCAAGAGCTTCCTGCAGATGTTGAAAGAGCCAGGTAGTGCTAGCCGCTTGGTCTCTGTCAACGTTGGAGAAGGCATTTTTTTTTTTTTTTTTTTTTTTTTAATAAAAAAAGATCTGTCTTGAGAATAGTATGGGAAGGGGGTGATGAGGCATCAATATTGACCTTCTGAAAATGCTGCTTGCTTAGCTGTATCTGACTTTAAGGGCTCATGTACATGGGGCATTTGGGAAAACGCTTCTGGAAGATGGAAACTGGAAACGTAGGTTAAAAAAAAAACGTTAGTTTAGCTGCGTTTGCATACTGTGTTTATGTGCATTTTTAAAAGAGAACCTCCGGAGACCTTCCCAAATGCCGAGAATGCACTGAAAAACCTTAAAAAAATTAACCATTTCAGACATATTGAGAGAGCAGTATGTGTTGATCACCGGTCTTTTCTGGTTGTATTCACTATGGATCCGATCATTAGCATAATGCAGCACGTTCTACCATTTGCAATGGTGTCCTAGGTCCATTTGAGTACCTGGAAAATGCTTTGCGTGCATTTCTGAGGATGAAAAAAAGGCTCTGGACATGGAACAGTTAAAAAATGCTTATAAACGCAGTTAACTGCGTTTACAAGCGTTTGGCGTTTGAAACGCCGGTAAAATCTATTCCTGAACGCAAGTTTGGTGCATTCAAAAAAACGACTGAAAACTCAACTGCCTGTAAATGACGATGTGTACAAGGACACATAGGAAAACATTGGGGAGAGTTCAGGGGCTGATGAAAAAAATGCAAAAAAGCTCCTGAACGTAAGTTTTTCAGCTACAGTGTACATGAGCCCTAAAACGGTTGAGTCATACAAAAGTACAGGGGTCTCCAAACTTTCTAAACAAAGGGCCAATTTACTGTCCTTCAGTTTTTAGTGGGGCTAGACTGGGGTCATTGGGAGTAGAAAAGGTCCCAATGCCAGTGGGAAAAAAAGTGCCCCATCTTTGATGTCAGTGGAAGGAATTGTGCCCCATTATTTGTCTTTGGAAGGAATTGTGCCCCATCATTGGTGTCAGCGGGGGAAATTTTGCCCCATTGTTGGTATCATTGGATGAAATAGTGCCCCAGGGGCCAGATAAAAGCAAGCAAAGGGCCGCAGTTTGAAAACCCCTGCAATAGAAAATATAGTAAATGAGTGCCAGAATGCCTTAGCTCTATACTTGGTCTAGATCAGTGAGCTAAAAAGCACTGAAAAGTTGGCATCGCAGTTACAGCCAAGAACTAGCATTCTCAAAACAAAAGGTCCGCAAAGGCAACCTACATAACTATTTTAAAGCTATAGAAGATTGCACACTGTTTACACTGTGTATAAGACAGCAATTTTAACCTGGACATTAAACTGTTACCTTCAGATCTGTTATGTTTTTATATTTATGTAAACATTTGTTTTGTGTTTTGTCCCATGTATAAATTTATTGTTTAAAGGGAATTAACAATAGTGTGGCTTAATAACCTCAAGGGCACTTTAGGTCAGCAGACCCATTTTGGGAGCAGTATATGCAGTAGTAGAGTACTTCTATTTTGCTTTTACTTTGTTTCTTTATTGCCAAAGACTGAAAACAATAAGCAATGTCTATTTAATTGATACAATGCATGGCAGAACTGATCCCAGTGAAATATAATTTTTGCAAATGGAATCAGGTATCGTGTAGAGATTATAATTGTAGTAGTGTAGTCACAATGAATTGTCATAGAGTAGTGAGTATGAGCAAAGAAGATTCAGCGTTCTTCTAAAAAGTACAGACTTATTTATAATTTTGCAGTAGTGTATGTACACTTTGGTCAAATCGGGTGTGACTTGGCATTTGATTTGGATACCCTGCAACTTGCAAATTGTATGCCAAGTCGCACCCTATTGTCTATTAGAGCGGTCATATCAGTGCGGTTCCTACTTAGTCGGAGCCGCACCAATTTCTAAAGAAGTACATGCACTACTTTTGTTGCGATTTGCATAGACATCTGTGTCAGATGTCTTGCAAATCGCAACTGAAATTGGCAGATCACCCAATTTTGAAATCGTGTGACTTCACTGTAAATCGCACGATTTCAAAATCAGCTTTGATGTGACCTGGGGCTAAAGGAGAATGGCTATTAGTGGTTAGTCCCCATCAAATGGACTTCTCTGTAATGTTGAAGCCACTTCTTCAGTTGTAATGAGTGTCAGGAACATACCCCAGTATTTATATCCACACACACAGAGCAGTCACTACCCTAATTCAATTACCATGCAATGTGTCAAGGCAGGTGTTGGCTTTCCAGGAACTTTTAGAGGGGGCCTTCAAAACCATCTGCCAACATATGTTGTTTTTCACATCTCTACCTCAACAGTTTGACTAGTCACACCTTCTGCCATATAAATCAGAGGAGTCACACCTTTGCAGTCTTCCTGACACCAAGGAATGGGATTATGTAACAAGGACAGAAAGGATTCACGACTTTCACACCTCCCATCCTAAGTAGTAGCTGTGCCATGACCTGAATTGAATGAGAAACTTCAGACTTCAGCCTAGTACATACAGGCAGAATGTCGGGCAGCATCGGTCGGTTCAATAGAAACCGGATGACATTCCAGTTTGCTCAGTGAATCCGTTTCTAACAAAACAAACCCATGAGAAGGGCAGTATCATTTACCAATGCACTAAATAACTCATTGACTCCACTGTATAGAGAATATTCTGCAAGAACTAAGGGTCAGCAAGAGACCAAAGTCAAGCAGTTAACTTGGAGCATGACCACCCACAAAAATGTAAATTTAGGTTGGAAGGAAAGAATAAACTGAGCAGGCTTTGTTGTGATATCTTCTGGTGCCCAACTTGCAGCACTCTTATTGTGAGGCCTTTTGTCCCCAGCAGTCAGTAGTGAAAGTATTTGTAAAGGAGTTGTAATGTGTTCAACTCCTACAGTCTGATGTCTCCTGTAGCCACAGTGTCCATCTTCTGTAGCATTGCGTATACTGAATATTATGTGTGCCCCATGAGGAGGGATGTCAGTTGGGCATCTCTGTATCTAGTAATTGTGCCACCACTGACGTTAACACTTTGTCAGATTGCAGAAGTGTACAGATGCACACAAGATGCAGTACGTAATATTGGGTGGTGGCATTCAAGTCGAATTGTTAAAACAGTGTTAGGAAATGCGATCACTTCCTTTCTATGAAGTAAGTCATGATTCAGTATCAGATGGAAGACTGGTTGTATAGAAAATGCTTTTAATTGCAGAATAACATGTTTCCCGTACTTAGTGTTTCTCCTTTGTAGAGAATCTGTGAAGATAGATACATGGAAGCTACCATTGCTGACTTGTTATTGAAGGTACATGTATTCAGGCCGTCATTCTTGTTGCTTTAAGACTTAACGGTAATCTTCTTCTTTTTTTTTTTCCAAATTAAAATAATAAACATGTTCTATTTACCTGCTCTATGCAGTGGTATTGTACAGAGTTGCCCTGAGTCTCTTCTGGGGTCCCCCACTGGTGTATTCAGCTCTTCTTCTGTGTGTGCCCCCATAGCAAGCAGCTTGCTGTGGGGGCACAACTGCAGGTTTGCTCTGGAGCATGGCTGTGTGCATCAATAGATTCACACAGCGCAGCTTGGCAACTCCCTCTTCACGGGATTTGATTGATGGCAGCAGGAGCCAATGGCACCTGCTGCTGCCTCTGTGTCCTCTAAGGTGTTTGTGTGTATGGGGGAGGGGGGGAACACAGCTATACAATTACTGGGACACTTTTTACCTTGGTGCAGGAGAATGCATTAGGGTAAGAAATGTCTTGCATTTAGAACCACTTTACGCTTGTTATAGACTATCAGAATTTCTTTAAACAGTTTTAATTTTATAAAAGTTTATTTAATGTTTTTTAATGGTTAGTGCGGTTAAATTGATGCCCGTTATAAACCACAGTGACAAGAAAAGGAAGCAGGATAGTGTTTTTTTTTTTTTTTTTTTTTTTTACAGGAATCCCAAAATCGAATATTAAAGTGGTTGCGAAGGCAGAAGGTTTTTTACCTATGAAAGTGAAAAACCTTTGGTGTGTTGCTCCCCCCCCCCCCCCCCCCCCCCCATACTCACCTGAGCCCTGTCTCAATCCAGTGATGTGCACGAGAGCCTCGGCTTTCTGGAGTCTTCCTCGCCTCATTGGCTGAGACAGCAGTGGGAGCCATTGGCGTCCACTGCTGACAATCACAGCCAGTGAGGAGAGGGTGTAGCCTAGCCGCAGCTCTATGTGTCTTATGGACTCCTAGAGCGAGGCTTGAAAGCAAGCATGCACACCAGTGCCCTCATAGCAAGTGGTTTGCTATTGGGGGACCCTGGTCAAGGTGGAAGAGCCAGAAGTGCCCGTGAGGGACCTCAGTAGAAGAGGATCGGGACTACTCTGTGCAAAACTACTTCACAGAGCAGGTAAGTATAACATGTTTGTTTTTTTTTAATCTTCTGAATCTTTAATACCACTTAAAGCAAATGAGAATTTGAAGAACTTTTTTCCAGTCATCAAATATACAAAGAATTTTGTTATGAACGGTCATTCAAAAAATCTACTAGTGTATAGCCAGTTTTACTCACTAACTTGGAACGATCCTGTGCATTTTAGATTTTCAACATGCCTCATATGTACAGACTTGCCAGTGACTTTCCAAGTAGGAAAGGAAATAAAACAGTGTTTTTATCTTTACATGCTTCTTTTAAAG